CTAGAAGGCTGCCTAGACCCTGATTTAGTTAAGGAAAAGATTGTGCTATGTGATTGGTCCGGTGGATATGTTGAGGTTGATCGAGCTGGCGCAAAAGGTGCAATTTTAAGCAATTCAAGAGATGATGTTGCATCTGTTGTCCCACTATCTGCGACTGGTTTAAACAATCAAGAGTATGCTGTGGCCAAGTCCTACCAGAACTCCACCAGAAATCCTCGAGCCAAGATACTAAAGAGTGAAGTCATAAAAGATCCTGCTGCACCACGTGTCGCTTCCTTCTCTTCACGCGGTCCTAATAGAATTGTACCAGAAATTCTGAAGCCAGATATCACTGGCCCCGGGATAGATATTGTGGCTGCATATTCACCTAATGCTTCTATCTCGGCCAGCCCTTATGACGAGAGGCGTGTAAAATACAATGTACTATCTGGAACCTCCATGTCTTGCCCCCATGCTGCTGGTGTAGCTGCATATGTTAAAGAGTTCCACTCGGATTGGTCTCCAGCAGCCATAAAATCAGCTATTATGACTACAGCTTGGCCCATGAATGATACCAGCACTTCTCCTGGTGAATTTGCTTATGGATCTGGACATCTCAATCCTGTAAGAGCTATAAACCCCGGCCTTGTGTACGAAGCTTCTGAAGAAGATTACATTAAGTTCCTTTGCATGATGTTGGATGAGGAAAAAATTAGACTCATTTCGGGAGATAAGGTCACTTGCCCTACTGGCTCGGACAAAGGATCACCAAAGGATCTCAATTACCCTTCAATGGCTGCTAATGTTACGTCAATGAAATTGTTTATGATCAACTTTCATAGAAGAGTTAAGAATGTTGGCCTTGCAAACTCCAATTACAAGGCATTGATCTCCTCAAATTCTAAAGTTGATATCAAAGTGGTGCCTGAAGTTCTTTCCTTCAAGTCCTTGAATGAGGAGAAGAATTTCACTGTAACCGTTGATGGAAGAGATATGCCAGAGGGATCGCATGTGTCTGCATCGCTGTGTTGGTACGATGGAAGTCACAACTGCATTGTTAGAAGTCCAATTGTCATAAGCAGCGTATCAGCTTGATCAACTGCGTTGTTTGTACAATATTCAGAACCTCATTGTTGCAAAAGAAAAATAATGTTATGATTCTATGTGACACCTTTATCAAGCTAGTTAAAATCAGAAATAAAGCCAGACATGAGGGATTTGCCTTTAGAAAAAATTAGGGCTCTCTTGAGTATATCAAATTATGTGGATTTTATTAGCTTTAAGAATTTCTAAAGTTCATTTAACCATTTCAGTCTAAAAAAAGTCAAAATTCCTTATTGTAAATATTTTCATCCATATGGACCCTTGCATTTTTCATTTGCAATACAAGCCTTGAGCTCATCTGTGTTGTGAGTTTAAATCCTTTATTGAAATCTTCTTAGGTCTGATGGAGGTGGGGAGTATA